ACATCGCCAGCGAAATGACAAAGCCGAGGCACTGCGCGATGAGCAGCAGAGCCTTTAATAAACTTCGTTTCTCAATGGGGATAATTAAACTGGACGCAGTTTTCTTTGTGCTCCCTAACGCCGCGTTTTATCCCTCACACGGAGGCGTGGATCACTAAAACGAGACGCCCTCCGATCACTTTGGAGCTGTGTGAGGATTTATACGTAGCTATTTTATACGACGCAAAAAAAAAAAGAAAGAAAAAAAGAAAACTTTATTGAGGTTTCAGGACTGCCTGCCGCTGGGGGGGGGGGGGTTGGGAGGGGGGGCATTTTGGCCACCGAGAGGCGCCGCAGCCTAATTAGACCTTTAATGAGGTCTTGATGATTTGGGTCGTTGTCTCGCCAAAAGTCCCCTAAAATGGGGAATCGAGACAAAGAAAACGGCACCGCTGGGTGGTGCGGGGAGCCGTGCGGGGCTGCGGGGCTCCGTGTCCGCCCCCTCCATCCTGCCCGGGGCAGCTGCACACCGAGGGGGATAAACTGGAGTAAATCAGGTAGTTTGATGTTCTTGTGTTTAAAATTTAAAGCCCAACAACATGAAACTACCTAATTCACAGAGCAGTTCTAGTTCATTCTTGGGTCAAAGGCTAAAATTACCGAGAAAGGCGCCTGGGCGGCCATTTTGTTTGACATCATCTGCGATCTGAACTTTTATAATAGAAAACAGTTGCTAGGAAACAAAAGCAACAAAAGGACCTTTTCAGAGACGAAATAAAACCCCTACGATTTCGCGAAATGACTATTCAAATGATTTCCTATGTACAGTGTCTGGAGCGGATCCCTCCCGCAGGACGTTACAAATAGTTGACAAATAGAGCAGAGGAAACAGTAAAATGCTGTTTGACTTTGAGAAACAAGCGATTATCGAGGCAATAAAATAAGTCTAAAAATTCCTAAAGTTCTTCCCCCACCTCCTCCGGAAAGCTGATTTCAAGGGCCTTTCCCGTATCAACGGCATCCATCGAGGCTTTGTATTAAAATGCTATTACAAGAGGTAGAGGGGCAGAGATAAATTATATTATATATAATATAGATTATATATAATCTAGAAACATTAATGTTCAGGAAACGGTCGGCAGAAAAGAGAATGAAGTCAAAGCAGAGCGTTCTGTAATAATAATAATTAGAAGAGCTCTTAATTCATATTCCCCTCCTCTGAATGCGTAAGGTGATTAATTTAAAGATAAGAAGGAGAGAATGTATAAATCAAGGAAAGCAAGAGAAAAAGCGTCATCTACTGTTGTAGAGGTGTGAATAGTAACTCAGAGAAATGAATCTGGTGTCTTTTCCTCCCCCCGATGTGAACTCTGTGCTGGAAGAACGTGTTATAAAATAATGGCTCCATCAGCGGTGATGGAATGGGGAATTAAAACCAGGGAGAGGAGATCAGAGCCGGGAGGCTCTCAGGGCTTTGCTGTGACTTCCGAAGGGGGAAATTGGAAGAAAGAGCAAAGAAGTAAAAGAAAATATAATAATTCCCATTTGGTAAAGTGTGGATCGTGCATCCCCAGAGCATCGGGTCAGGATCCTTCGTGTCACAAATGCTTATGTATACACATAATTGATGTATGTATAAAAATAAAGTTGAAGGCTTACCTTGCAAATTCAGATTTAGTCCTTGGGTGGATGAAATAACAGAATGGAGTGGAATCAATAGGGGCTCGAAAAAAATGGGGCAACAGCCCGCAAAAAGCGAGTTTAGAGGAGATTAAAGTTCACTGAGAACGAATTCTCTGGGATGAGGAGATGCACGCAGGAGCCAGAAAGTCGACAGTAATTTAGCTCCATTTCATTTGAGAAGCACTTAAAGGAGTGGATGGGACCGTATATAAATCCATTGTGCCGGAAATACAATAAAACTTTGCCGTGTTGTTGAACTTCAAACAGTTTTCACCAAGTCGGGAGGGAGGAGAGGGATGGGGTGGAATCAGGGAAACAAAAATCCAACACATAAACCAAACCCAACACCAACCCAAAGCCAGCACATAAACCAAACCTAGCACATAAACTAAACCCAACACCAACCCAAACCCAACATATAAGCTTAAGTTAAGTATAAACTAAATATAACCCATAAACCAAATCCAGCACCAACCCAAATCCAATGTATAAACTAAACCCAATGTATAAACTAAACCCAACACCACCCTAAACCCAATGTATAAACCAAATCTAACAGATAAACCAAACCCAACACCAACCCAAAGCCAGCACATGAGCTAAACCCAATACAAATGCAAAGCCAGCACATGAACCAGATCCAACACCAACCCAAACCCAAAGTATAAAGTAAATCTAACACATAATCCAAGCCCAACACCAACCTAAACCCAATGTATAATCCAAACCAAACATAATAATCCAAAACCAACACGTAAACCAAACCCATCCACCACCAACCCAAACCCAACACATAAACCAAACTCAACATCAACCTAAACCCAATGTATAAACCAAATCTAACGTATAAACCAAACTCAACACCAACCCAAAGCCAGCACATGAACCAAATCCAACACCAACCCAAGCCCAACATATAAACTAAATGCAATACATAATCCAAACCCGACACCACCCCAAACCCAATGTATAATCCAAACCAAACATAATAATCCAAAGCCAACACGTAAACCAAACCCATCCACCACCAACCCAAACCCAACACATAAACCAAACTCAACATCAACCCAAACCCAACACCGACAACCCAAATCCAACAGCAACAAAGCTGCAGGGAACTCCCCCCCGGGAAAACAAACAAATAAACACACATTTAAAAGAGAATAGAAAGAGGGAAAAACTCATCTGGAGAAGAGGAACCGGGGAGCCTGAGTGTTTATTTTCATGTTGTGTGAGGTTAAAGCCCTCCCAAAAGGGGGAAAAGATGGTCTGACCAGGAGTCTTTGGTACAAGAGAAGTTTGTATGCATTTTTTCTATTGCTTTATGAATAATCTTTTTTTTCTCCCTCTCTTTGTCACCATTTTGGCACAATGTATGCATATACATGCAGGACCAGGTTTAAATAAATCATATCCGTGAATGAACTTTTATGGAGTTGACTACAAAACTTTCATTACATCTACATTAGGAGCGTCAAGCACTGCATTCCTGAGGTTGGTAGACACAACGAGTTTGCAGTCGAGCACACGTACCATCCACTAAAGTCATTTCTATCACGTCCACAACACCATTACAATGCTCTCAGTATTTTCTACTTCCCACGAAGAGGAATAATATTAATAATAATTAAAGGAAAAGAATAACGCTACGTCTGCAATTACTGAACCCAAAGTCACAGGGCACACTTGAACTCGTAATGCTAAAAGCTCTTTCCTGCAGACAGGACAGGCAGGAATGCATTTAGAACCGAGCTGCCACTGCTGCAATGTGGAAATGAAGCACACTTTGCCCCCCAACCCCCCCCAAAGAAAATTGCAAATTGAAAACATAAATAAGGGAAGCCACTCAAGTTAAGCATGAAAAACAAAATCGCACGTGCCATTTAATTTCATGATCGGGTTTAAAATAAATAACAATTAGTTGAAAAGGGAGAGAAAGAGAAAAAGGGGGGTGGGGGGAGAGCAAAACAGAAAAGGAAGAAAAAGAACAACATGCAAGTAAGTGACGAATTAGCTTTAATTCTTGGGCTGGAATCACATTTGAAGGTAATGGGGGTTATTTTTCCCCTTTTTGGATGTCGCTAAAGTTTTTAAAAACATTTTAAATTTAGACGTCAAAGGCAAGTTAGAGCTGTGAGACAGCAAATGGATGTCTCAGCAATAAGAGAACTTCTGCTTGTCAGGGGAATAAGTGCTAAAATAATTAATAGGGTGGAATGGGAGGGCGCTTCCATGAGCGTAGATCAGTAAATGTATATATGTGTATATATCCATTACAAACACACTTAACAGAAGAATCTATTACAGATTATCTAAGGGAAACCGAGGCTCCAGATCTCATCACTGATCTCTTTGTGACTTACTTAGACGTTCACAAAGCCCTACTTTTATTAAAATATGGTGATAGCAGCTGTTTTTCACAGCTCCCATTCATCAGCATTAGCTTTTGGGAGTATTTGGTGTCCGCTCCGAAGGAGTCATGCAGATATTCCCAAGCAGAACACGCTACAAACGTGAGGCTCTTGGTGCATTTATAAGAGAAAGAAGAAGAAATTGCCCCCAAACCCTCTTTCCTTCCTGCCCCCCGCCTCGCTTTGCCCCGTGGGAGTGGGAGGCAGCTCGGCGTGGGCTCTCTCTTTTTTCTTCCTCCTATCCATCAAACCTAAAAGATACTCAGCAACGCACAGAAAAGTGCGCTGTGACGTTTCTTAACCAGCACTGCACACACATACAAACAGAGGGGGGGGGGGGGGGGGTGGTGGGAAGGAGGGAGGGATGTTGGGAAAGGAGACGTCGGTGGGGGGGAAATAGAAAACGCTCTACTCGTTCGTACCCCGCCGATAAACCACCAATAAGAATTACTAAAAATCCCCTGCCCTCCGTTGGCTGGGGCTGCATTTAAACCCTTACAGCAGCACCGTGTCTTCCCTCTCTCTTCCTTCCCTCCCCCCCCCCTCGGCTTCCATTCCCCGCATCCCCCGTCGGGGTCCGTCGGCTCCGTGGCCTCAGGGCGGCGCTCGCTGGCCGGGTTCGGCCCCGGCTCCGCGCTGCCTCCGCACCAGCGCTGCCATCCGCTGTGCGGCCTTTGTTTCCTTCGCCAAGCATTTTAACCGAGCTTTTTTTTCTCTGTCTTTTTTTTTTCTTCTCCCCTCCACTTTCCTTTCATCATCATCATTATTATTATTATTATTATTATTTAAGTGAAAGAAGGGAAAAGGAAAAAGAGAAAAGACGTTTGCTAATAAAAATGAGACATTTTGCCTTAAAGAAAGCGACGATCAAAGTCGTTTCCCTGCAGCCCACTCCCCAGGGGATGCCCTCGGACACGATCTAAGCAAAAGGCTTTGTAACGTCGGGAATTTCAGGCTGGGAATGCTCGGGTTGAGCGTGAGGACCCGAAGGTGAGGGCAGCGAGGTGTGCCGAGGGGCAGAAGGGATCCCGAGTCCTGTTTAGATGTGAAAGTGGCATCAAACGCGACCCTAGAGAAAAAGGGAAGCGGAATCCAGAGGGAAAATTACCCCTCGGGGCAAGAAAACACGAAGTGGAGGGCAGTCGGAGCCCCTCGGCCCGGCCCTCCCCATCAGGACTGGCTTGGATGCTTTGCTTCACCACTCTTCCACCACCCCTAAGGTCTCGCCGTTCCCAAATCACGGTGTGTGACCGTCCGGATTCGTCCTGAGATCAGGGAGAGCCGCAGTCAGAAAGAAAACCCCGAGATATTGGATCCCGCTGCACCCTGGAGCCCCTTCCATCGGCACCCACTTCCCACACAATGAAGAGAAACCAAACCGTGCGAAATCCTCGGGGAGAAAAAGAAAAAAATCCTGACAAAAATCCCTTCGGTGCCGGAGAACCCAATTAATAAGAAGAAAAAGGAGGGCAGGGAATCGATCACACCTATCTCAGTAATTCTATTTCTCTGCAGGGCGAACTGGAAACGCGGACGGTGTGCAGAAGGGAGACGATCCCACAGCTCAGCTAGGGAACACGTAATGTTCCCCATACAGCCGACCCCAATTTGGGGCGATCTGAACCGTCTCAGCTCCAACCCAGGGCTCTGCACCGAACCCGGCATCGTGAGCTGAGATGGGGAGGGCGGGGGGGGGGGGGCTCTCTTCACTTACAGAAATATCATTTAATTAATCCACAGATGAGGCAAGGCTTCTAAATTAACCGAAGAAGACTTGAAGTCGCAATAGGAGCTTTGGGTGAAGCGCTTAAGGCCAAACATCGAGAAAGAATTCAGGTATAAGGGAGGTGGAAACGTTGGGTAGCGTTAAAGAAAAAGAGTTGGCAAAATACATCCTGCAAACCTGCAGTCGGATACGAGCATCTACTTATCCGACATGAAAACTCCCTCTTTGCCAAGGCTTTATTGGTCCAACAATTCATTCGATTATTTTTTTTCCCCCTATTTTATTTTTTCGCAGGGAAATCTGTCCAAAAATCTCAGTTTTAGCCGCGTTCAGAGTCTTTTTTCTTTCTTCCTCCCCCCAGTTAATCTTTTAATTAGTTTATACATTTCAGTTTATTTGGGATTATGCTTAAATCTCTGGAAAAGATATCAGTTGGAAAATAAATAAATTGAAGAGTAATATTATAAGAATTCTATGGAAAGACGCAACAAAAACACATCCTTCTCTGGGTGACCCTTAAAGAAAATACAGCGTTTCTTCCTATCCTATTAATTTGTTGGAAAACTTAATTAAGCTCGGCTACCTTCCATTATTTATGTAAACCCTCCGTCCGGGAGACTTTAAGAGGTTTCTTCTCAGGTTTCCGACATTGTTATTAGAAATCCATAAAGCAGGGGAGGGACAGGAAATTAAATTTAAAGGTACCTCATTACGGCACAACTGCTTTCCTATGGCAGCGGACGGAGACAACACATGGCGGCATAAAAGGCTGAGTCCCCCCAGCACGTAGACTTGGCAATCCTCTCGAAATGACCTTTTAATTCCAAACCTAGCAAGCTTCCGTCCCCACAGCGGGCTCTGAGAGTCGGCGGAGAGGGGAGAAAAGAAACTGAAATAGAAGAGAGGACAGCGATGCGAATGGAAGAGCCACGCAGATGGAAAAGCGTGGGGCGGGTGGTTGTTAACAGTGGGTTTGGCTGGGTGGGCATCAAGAGAGGTAAAGGTTATTTGGGGGAGGATTTGTTCCAGAATTTCCCAGCTTTGCTCCAAGCGGGATTTCCCTGCGGTGTTTCTGCAGTCCCCGATTCGTTTCCCGCTGGATGGTGCGGATTAAAGGGGTTTCAGCCCAACGCAGAAACAAAGAAACGACGCTAATCGTGAAGGGTCGGAACCGAGAATGGACGAAACTCCCTACAGACGGTGAGGAGAAGTGGAGGTGAGAACAAAGAAATGTTGCGCCCTATCTTTGCTTTAAAAGAGAGCTCGAACTTTGAGAAGGCAGGGGAAGAAATGATGATAGAAGCTAAAGAAGGGGGGAAGACGAACAGCTCTGCTCGGCCGTCCGCAGAAGAATCCAACAGTTTTCTATCCGGACCGCTGCAGCTGATGAGAATTAAAAGGGAATCGGGAATTTACACGTGGGAAACTACAAAAAGAGCAACACGTTACGAACACCACCTCCCTCCCCAGCACCCGGCGAGGCCGAATCCAGCAGCCATTTACCCATCCTCACCTCCATCCCGCTCCTTCTCTTCGTAATTAATTAATATTATTTTTCAATCAAACTCTCCCACTCCGAAGAAAAAATAGTAATAATAATAATAAAAATAATAATAATTAAAAAGCCAAGGAAATATATAAAAAAGAGCAGCTCCGCTCGTTGGCAGAGCATCCTCCCACCACTTGTTAGAGCGAACCTTTCCCAGCTCCGGCTCATTTCGCGTGATTTCATTTTTCTCACTCCTTTCCTCGACTGGCGACAGAGCAAAGGTGCCGGAAATTAATTTTTAACTAAAAGCCCTTTGTGTTAACGAAGGGGGAAAAAAAACCCCAACCAAACAATAACAACAACAAACCAACAACCCACCTTCCCTCCTCCCCCTGCTTAGCAGTCTAGACAAAACCATTCTATTTTGACGGCGGACTGCGGGCTTTCCCTGCCCGCCTCCCATTCCTGATTGTTTGCATTCGCCCCCTGTAAAAGCCTGGGGAGATGACTTCGGGTTTTTTTGTTTGTTTGTTTTACCCACCTTCGATTTCTGGTGCCTTTTTAGCATCTTTAGACCCTCGTCTAAAGACCTCGTTGCGAAAAAAAAAAAAAAAAAAAAAAAAAAAAAGCTTATATTTTCTTTTCTTTCTTTTTCTTTTCTTTTCTTTTTTTTTTTTTAAATTTCCCCTCGGTCCATAAGGAGCCTCCACAGCAGAACGGACACCTCAAAATCATCAATTGCGGTGGGTGCGAAGCTACATCATCCTTGAGCCGGCTGAGGACATTGGTGATGAAGCTGCGGGCCCGGAGGGGTGCGGGATCCCCAGTGCCGGTTGCTGCCGACCCTTTTGCACCCCCAAAAAGAGGTGCGAGGGGGGGGAAAATATCCCCTCATCCCCTTCCTTTAGCGCTGAGGAGTCGAGGGTGGGTGGCGGAGAGGGGAGAGCTGGGTGCTGCCGGGTGTCTGGTGGGCTCCGGCTTTGCGAAAACGGTATTTTGGGATAAGGTGGGGGGAGAGGGGGGCAAGTCTCTGCCGATTGACTTATCTGTTAGAAAATGCGTGTGCAGGCGGCTTCCGGCGGGGCTCACCAATCCGGGGCGGACGAAGCTGCTAAGACCATCCCCTGGTGTCAATTTTAATGGGAAACTTCATCGCTTTGAGGGGGGGGGGGGGAGAGGGGAGCCGCGTATTTTTTAATACGAAGACGCGAGGCTGCGGTTCACGCCGACTTTCCCGTCGTCCCTCCCCGCTCCGACGCGTTTACTCACACCGCTATTCCCAGCCTTCCCCATTTTTGGTATGGGGGCTATTTTGAGAAAACCCTTTCGGAGGTGAAACAAAACCCCGTGCTTATATCGAGGCACGAAAACCCATCCCCCCTCCAAAAAAAAACCACCCCAAAGCCGAGCCCGACTGCGTGCGTTCAACCCGAAGCTTTTGCCGTAGAGAAGGGCTCAGCTCTTTCCCCGCAGCCCCATGGGACAAATCCTCAAGTCCCTGCAGTCCATTTGCCCTCGGGCTGTACAAATCTACGTGCAAGGGAGGAAAACGTTGTATGTTCCATGCAATAAAGGTTGCGGTGCTTTTGGGAATGGAAAAACCACTTGTCGCGTCGGGAAACACAAGAAGAAGCCGGGAGGTGACACGCAGGTCCCCACTGTGGGGTTTGCCCTGGGGTTTGCCCAGCTCAGGAAGCCGCACCCAGGCTGTTTCGAATAGGATTTATACATTGGATTTGATGCCTGGCCTCGCACTGCAATTTAACAATCAGCGGGGATTCATTTTGTTTCTGTCTTTAAGGGAAAAAAAAAAAAAGCTCTTTGTGGCTCTGCAGGGCTGCAATTGCCAAGGGAAAAACAAACAAACAACGCAACAACGACGCAGCCAAACATAAAAACCCCAAATCACTACAGCAGCTCAGAAGTGGTTGGAGACACCGCTTCCAAAATGGCTCGAGCTGAGAGCGAGAAGAAAAAAGGGAAAATTGGTTCTTCGTTCGAACCTTTTGAATCCAACCTCTTCGTTTGTAACAGTTCTCCTTCTGGAATTAAGCCTTGAGGAAAGGAGTGATGGAAACCTGTTAAAGCTCAGGATGGTTTGCAGCCGCAGCTGGTTCTGTATTCCCGACGCAGAAAATAAAAAGGAGCGGATTTTAGTAGCTACTAACGGGCAATTATTTCAGAATAGGTAATAGCAGGGATTTTAAAGATTTGGGAAATTAGAAGGATTAACCGAAAGTTCATACATATGGAGAGGAAGAGAGAGGAGCTCTTCTTTTCGAAGCTCGCCGAGCCCCGAAGGGGTCTTTGCTCCCTATTCTGCGCTCTCCTTCCCCGAGGTACTCAGAACTGAGAGCAGCACCAGGATTGCAGCAGCTGGGTGCTACAGAGTTGAGGGTTTCCCCCCCATTTCAGCGCCTTTCTGCCTCTCTTCTCCCCTTCCAAACTCTTTCCCACTTGCTCTTTCAACAGCCTTTTGTACAGCAATGAGGATAGTAGCCAAAAAACCTCCACTGATAAAGAATATCAGTCCTCCTTCAGGGTCTGATCCTGCACTGTGGTCCCTCGGGGAGGCAGGGGGCTTTTCCGTGCACACTCGTCCCTGTCCTTTTCCCCATGGACCAAAGTCCAGCTTCGCTTTGCACACCGGCAGCCCGCAGTGCCTTCAACCCGCCCGGGGGCAAAGGCAGACAGCAGCCCCGGCCCCGCTCCTTGCACTTGTCCTCAGCCTTTCTACAGAACCGAGAGCCGTCGGGAAACTGGGGAGGAGGAAAAGAAAGGAGAAATAGGCGTAGAACCTTCAAAGGGAAAGTCGAAGGTTGAGGCGCAGGATATCTCGGCTAGAAGGACTGAAGGTTTGCTCCGAAGGTGTTATTTCGTTGTTGCTGTTGTTTTTTTTTTTTTTTTTTTTAAACACAAAATCTGTGGTTGGTAGGAAAAGAGTAACCAAAAAAGACCCCGACAAACAGCAGCCCTTTGCAGGAGGTGCAATAACACACAAAGCAGCCTCAAACCGCCGCCTCTCGAGGCTCAATGCCAGCACTCACAACCGAGCTCTGCCGTCGGGGCTCGCCGCTCCAGCCCGACCCTCTGCCGCGTCCCCCACGGCCTTCATGCCTTCAGACAGAACCTTTCCTTGTAAAAATCACTTTATAGCGCCCGAGCCTGAAAACTACCAGGTAACAGCTTTTTTACAACCTGACTCCCAGGACACGATTTCATTTCTTTCCTTAACCCTCTTTCCATCTCTCTCCGGGTTACATTTCCCAATGAGAAATCCCTTCGGAATTAGAGAGAATTAAAACATTCAAACCTTGCAATGGGAGCTGATTCACGACCTGCCCTTAAGCTGCAGGATTTTCAGCCTGATGTTGGATCCTGATTCCACCCAGAGGCATTTTCGGCTTCTGAAACATCCCTGGGACGTTCATGAAGGTGGGAAGAGCCCCTCAACCATCAGCAGAGAGCTGGAGAAACTCCATAGGTACATCAGTTTGCTGTTCTCGCTGCTTTTCCTTCTGATTAATCACAGGGTTTTTTTGGAGCTTGGTAGGGAAACGAGGTGAAATTAAATGGAAAGAATCATCAGAAATCCAGGCTGGGAAAAAGAACGAGAGCAAATTCTGCTTCACTTCCATTGGCTGTAAGCACTCCTCTCCCTCTGCCCCTGGCCCTTGTCCGGGGACCTTTGCCTTTGGTTTATGGCTCTCCTTTGAGCAGTGTCTGTGTCTCGCACCCTTGACAACAGTCTCCTCTCCTCCAGTCGTTCTGAAGGTTTGGATCTCAAATAGAGTTTAAAAAAAAAAGAAAAGAAAAAAAAATAAGAAAAAAAAAATTACTTCTCCAGCTCTCTGATCATCCCTTGGTGCTTGGACATTGTCCTGCCCCTTCATCTGCCAGTTCTTCTTCAGAAGAAGCGTATTAAAAGGCCCCAAAATCACGAGGTAAGTCACAAGAGCAAAGTGAGACTTTGGGTCCCAACAGCAGAGCTCAGTGTCTTTTCACTCCAACACAGCAAAGAAAAGTTGCAGCCCCATCCTGAAACTATTTAGCTCTCATCCATGGGAGATGGGGGCCTTTTAAGGTCTCTTCTCCCTTCTCCACCCCCAGAGCCACTACCCCTCATATATTATTTTTACCAATGTGATGGGATTTTTTTTTTTTTTCCTCCCTTTCTTGGAGGAGGAGGGATTTGTGCAGCCAGATTCCAGGAATTTGGAGGGGGGGGAGGGGGAGAAAAGAGAGAGAGATCCCCCTGTAGACTAGAGAGATGTTGTTCTTGGGATTAGAGATGTCTGACCTTGAAGGTCACAGGTCACCATCCTTGAATAAGGAGCAGGAGCGCAAGGTTAGGATTGAAACTTGAGGTGTGTCTGTTGGAGATCACAGGGAAAAGCCTTCCAAACAAAGAGGAATGCCTCAGTCAGGGTGAGAAAGGACAAATTCCCCAAGAATTATGAGCTCCTTCCGGATGATCGCATACCTGCAGACCCCCCAAAGGATGCACTGTGGCTGAGAGAGGGGAGGAAGGAGGGGAAGAAAGGAGAGGGAGGATGGCTGGAGCCAGCAGACCATGTTATTTATCGTTATTTGCATTCTGGGCAGGCCCAGAGGCCCTGATGCTGGCAGTTTTATGGAGATAGCAACAGAAAGAACATCCCGTCATCACAGCAGCCTGGAGGTGGAGCACTGGAAAAAAGGAGGCTGCCCAGAAATATCTTTGCAGGAAGGGAAGAAAGGAAGAGATTCTCCCAAGGGTAAGGAAGTAACAGAGAGCTACAGGAGGAAATTGGCTTCTAATCTGTGTCTAACACAACCATGACAGCTTCCCATTGTGAGATCCTGTAGGGCTCTGAGGAGTCCCAGCTGCGTGCCTCAGTTTCCCCGCAGAAATAGCTATAAAAGAGGCAAAGAGCACCTCAAGCCTCATTTCAGGGTTACAAGGGCTGAAGTGAGTAAAGAAACCTCATTTCTGTAATGTGATTCCTATCCAAATGAAGAAAGAAACACGTTCACAAGCTCAGGGCCGCCTGGCTCATGCCCATGCACCCTGCTTACAGAAGTCTGTGCTTTCTGCCCCTGGTACATGAGGGAATAAGGTTGTATTGGTGATTTGAGCACGATCATGGCATGGCCCTGTGGCAGATCCTCTCATCTCTTACACTCAGAGTTCAAGCTTAGGCTCTAAGATATGCAGGTGAAATCCACTGGGGCTGTGAGGATTTGATGATGCAGGAAAGTGTTTGAGGATCTGAGAACTTCCACACAACCTCAGCCCACTGTGCTGAAGCCCCACAATTTAACCTGACTCCACTCCAGACCCTTCTCTGGTGTCAATACCATCTAAAGGACCTCAAGGTCTGAACGACCTCACTGTATTACATTTTGAAGATGGCAGCTGCGACCTCTTTGTGTCATTCATGCAAACAATGCACAGAGAGATGTGCAAGGAAATCTGCAGAGATCAAGGCTGGCTGTGATGCTTAAACTCGAGGGCATTTTCCCTTTAGGGAAGGGAAGGATGGGGCCGGGAGCAGTCCCCCACCCATGGAACAGCCCCGAGCAACGCTAGAGGGAGCCCGGGGCTCAATTAATTAACTGGCTAAAATTAGCCGAGGTGGAGAAACATTGGAGCCTGGAGGGAAAGTGAGAATGGGGTTAGTTGTGTTTTCACGGGGTTTTCAAGCTGCATTTCTGTCAAGTTACACCAAAAAGTGACATGCATGGCAGCGCTAGTGCAAAATGCAGCATGGAAATGGCTCTGTGCTCTGAGTGCAGTGGGAGGAGGTCAGAACCATGAGACAAAGGGAGAGGGTCCCAGAGGCTGAGATCAGCTCTTGGATGCTGGCTGTATGGCTGCAGAGGGGTCCCCTATTTTAGGGATGCTTGCAGGGTGCTGCCTGCTTGCAGAAGGATCTGCAGATCCACCCAGGGATGTCACAGCCTTAGTTTCCCCTTCTGTGTCCTTTTCCACATGGTGCAGAGCTTTGCTGGATCTCCAAAGCCATCCTGAAGGCAATGGGGGTTTTCCATTTGTTTCCTTTGGTGTAGACCTTACTAGAACTTCTGTGAGTGGGGGAAGGGGAAGGCAGGTCCCCAACAGGACCCCATGACGTGGTGGATGGGATGGAACTGCGTGGGTAATCAACCCACCGGAGTGTTAGCAAAACTGAATCAAAAAGGGAGCTCAGCAGAAGCCAACCCATAAAAGCTGCCGTTGGACTCATTTATTATCATTTTAATCTTATTAACATCCCATCCAGTGGCTCTTTGGAGAATAAAACGTTGATATTATATATTTCTCTTGGCAGAAACCAACCAACCTTAGAAAAAATGAAGCCCTCGGTAAAGGAAAAAAGAAAAAGGGAATCACGTTTTATATTGTCTTTTTAATTAACCCATCTAATATTGCCTGAGTATGCAGGAGCAGAGAAACGAGGAAGTAGCAGAGATTACGGTAAGGGTTTGCTGTATCCCATGTCCTAAGTGTAAATAATGTTCCTGTTAATTTAAAACCAAGGCTGACTGTCTTTACGACTTCATTGCACTCACATTAGCTCTACCTTTAGGCAGTGTCATGGGTGCAAATAGATTGGGTTGAAAACTTCCCTAGAGCCACTTTAAAGTGACATCTAATCTTTCCCTTTAGTGGTGTTAATTCAACTTCACAAGAGCATTTGAAGCACCATTAGGCAGAGAAATGGACCTTCTCTCCTGCTGGTGCCCTTATCCAAATCACAACATTCCCCCCCAAAAATCTGTTTCATATCAGGCCAACTGTCGGTGGCTCCAGAGAGCAGCTGAAGGAGACGTGGGCTTCCTCTTTATGAGAGTTAAATACATAAAGGATTTGTGTTTCGTGTTTCTTGCTGCCTGCTGGAAGTCTCTAAGAGTCTTGGGAACCTCCTGGCTCACACAATGCAGTGGGAATGGGGACAGAGAAAGACTTGGGGATGCCACCATGGAGACAGAGGATTCCCCACAAACCAGACTGCCTGCCAGGGTATGATGGCATGCTGTTGGGATGGATTTTAACCAAGGAAAAGTGGAAAATGAAGTGCTGGGAAGGAAGCCCCATGAGCTTTGTGGTAGGCCACAGTCATGTCCTTACATCTGTCTGGCATTCCACAAATGGGCAGAGAGGTTGAGCAAAGGCCACAAGTGTTACTGCTCACCAGTGGGAAGGGTGTTGGCCATTAAATAGAAATGTGTTACAAAAGCTGTGCGGCCCAGAGGCACTGTGGTGCTGCAGCTGGAGCAAGATTTCTCATCTGTGCTGGCTGAGGGCAGCACTCTGCCCCATCTCCTGCCTCCAGCACGGCTCACAGCAGAGAGATAGGGAAAAGACATGCATGCAGTGCTAGGGGTGATGGCTCAGCCCCTGATGGTGAGCAAGGTAAGAAACTTTCTGACCTGGTGGCTTTGTATGGATTGCTGCTGACGGTCAAAGGTGGATGTGCCCTTTAGTAACCTGTTGGATTCCCTTCAGCCTCCTGTTGACATCTTTGACTTCTGCAGCCTATGATGGCAGCAAGTTCAAGGTCACATTCTATGAGAAAAACTCTGAAGCAGTGACTAAATATTCTCCTGAACCCTTCCCTTCTCCTTCCAGGATGAGGCAGACCTCTGTCACCTTCAGCCTTGGCCATCTCTTGGTCCTGGCCAGTTTAGTCCCCAGCACGTGGGATGGTCACACTCATTTTGGGTGGAGAAAGTATTACGTTACAGAACAGCCTGCTCAAGGAGAAGCAAAGCATCCCAAGGTCTGGCAGGTGCAGGAGTTGAGAGCATGGAGGGAAGGTCTGCAAGGCTGTGGGATGCGACTTTCTCCTCTCATCCAGGAGGGGGCAATCCGTGGCTGGAACTGAAGCGAAAGGAGCGCCGGATAAAGAGATTTTTCTTCTTTCACTGCTCCTTCCAAGGAAAAGCTCAAATTACTCTGATGGAGGAAGGCTTTAAAATGGAAACACAGATGGAGGAATTTAAAGGGACTTCAAGGGAGTTCGGGGTAGCCCGTTTTTTCCTGACGTGGTGGCATTAATTCTTACAAACAATTTCTCCCAATTAAAAGGAAAAAAGAGAGTTACACTGGATTTTCTTTTGAATCAGTTGGAACTTTGAGCTGGCTGAGACAATCATCAGCTTATCTCACCATTTATTTTCATTAAGCTTGCATTTAACACATCTTCTTTGGCCTTCCTTCCTTCCAAAGCCCCAGACAGAAGATGCAGCTGCATGTTGGGTACAACAAGCAGATCTATGCATACAGCCATTCTCTTAGCCTAACATGCCTTTGATTTTTGCCACACAGACTTTTATTTATACAATGAATTCTCATATAGCAAACACACTCTTGACTCCTCGACCTTTGGAGAAGGGCTGGTGAGCAACACGTGGGCAAAGGTTTGTTCCAAGGTATATCCTATAACACTGGGTGAGATAGAATAGCTCAGCCTCCTCTCTGCCTTAGTTTCCCCATCTGAAAGTAAAAGCAAGAAATAATGGAACTGCAACGTATTGCAAAAATTGCACGTTCACAAACCATGAATTGAAGAGATGGGGAGAGAGTCTCAAGATGCTTCTGAGTAAAAAATCATTCACTGGAGGACAACTCTTGGACATTTCAGGGGCTTCCCAGCTGCATTCTGGGGGAAGGTTTGGAAAACCTAACGTATAGTGTTGGAACAGAGCAGGCATCCCACCGGGCCACTTCGTCCTGGTGAGGGCGTATGGCCAGGAAAGCAATGAGAGCTCAGAGAAAGAATATCTGGAAAATAAATGAGCAAAACCTTGCTCTGTCTCTTGCTAACTGTTAACAATACAAAGAAAGAAGGAATGAGGGGGGAAAAGGAAAAAAAAAAAAGCAACACAAACCACTCAAGTCTGGGAGAAATGGAATGCGGAGCTTTTTTGGCACAAACCGGGCAGGAGAAGTTTCCAGAAGAAACAACATGAGTGAGAGGATTATTGCAAAAGGCCAGAGTGTCAAATCTGTGCTGGGAGTTAAAAGGAGCCCATAAAATCCACTCAGCAGAAATGGAGCCAGAGCAAGGTCTGGAGTTAACTCCTTAAAGTCTACAAAGCAGTGATAACCATCAGGAGTGACTTCCTTTCTATAAGGTGCAGAGTCTGGGCAAAGTCCCCTCTCAGCCACCACTCAGAGAGCTATAAAGAGGGAAAAGGCAAATCAAGCAGGTTGAGGATTATTTTATGCAATGCAATAAATCCAATGTCCAGATCAGCTCTCTAATTGTAACTCCCTTTTTCAAAGCCACTTGTCATGATGCTTTCAAAATTAATCATAAAAGTAGAACGAAGTTGTAACAATATAATCCATACACATCTAGTTTTGCCATCAGTGTTACAAAAAAAAATATTGCACTGAATCATCTGTGTGAAGACCAACTCTGCCATGGACTTTCAAACAGAAAACAAGGAGGGTTAATAATCCAGTATCTTCATAACTTTTCCCATTCAGACTCTTGACACATGCTGAGCAGTGAATCCCTGTGTTACACACCAGTTTCACCTCTTCTGCACAAATGCAGTGAGTCCCTGCAATATTTGGATACCCATGAGTCTAATGAAGTAAAGTAGAAAGAGAAATGTCAGACTGCTGCCTAAATTAGTGTCTGTGAAGTTAAAGTGCACCGTGTTGTTCACTGTCATGGTGGGCAGAACCAGAAATAATAGCTCAGGTCACAGTGAAGAGGATTTCATATCATGCTTCCCCAGATTTTGTCTTTGCAAGGAACACAAAGCGTGGATCTGGAGTCCAAAGGTAATGGCATGTCTGACACTGAGTGGATCCATGTCATGATAATAACAAGGAAAAACTGTCTGAGACCACACAGTAAGCCGAGACTGGAAATTAGAACTTATGCAGAGGGTATGAAATTCATTCTTACATTTTTCACCTCCTGCTTTCCTTGCAAAGTGCCTCTTGTTGTGTAGCCCAGGAGCAGATGATCCATAGGCTGCAGCTCAGCCTTGGCCTGCCCTCGTTGCCCCTCCTGCTTCTGCTCTTGGGATCCCAATGCTGATCTCCAAATGTGCAAGATGTAAACTGTTTGAAAGGAATGGGAGGCAAGATCCCATTGCACAAGTCCTGCCCCCCGTGCACAACTTTTGCTCACTTGTACAGAGCATGGAAACTGACCTAGGACTTAATGAAATGTTGACGTGAGGCATACTGATAACAGAAACAATTCTGTTTGGATCACTGGTGCTTGTAGAATCTGGGGGGCCAAGAAGGAAGGATATGGCAAAAATCTGCAATGATTTTGGGTGCTCCCCTCAAATGGCAGGTGCTCAGAAGATCCTGAAAAGCAATTTACTTAATGTCAACATCTAAACCAGAAAGTAAAGTTAAATGAAGCCAGCTAATACTACTTTCTGCTAGTAGTAACTGAAATGGCTGCTATTTAAGACACACCAAAGCAAATATCGTGTCATCATCTCAGGCGGGCAGAGCTTAAAGGGGCAATCAAACTGAGATGCACTGGAAAGGAAGAAAAAAGTGTAACACAGAAGTAAAAGCAAACTAATGAAAGTCAGAATGAATTTATGAGGCGCCTTAACGAAACACGTGGATGTGCTAAAGATGAATCCATGGCATTTACACTTTTAAGTCCGTGTTTAGTATGGAACTCATACAATTGGAAAGGTAATAAATTTCATGGCAAATGGACGTGATCGTGTTTGCACAGGGAAAGCCTTTGCCCAAGGAAAGCATGTGTGGTTTGTGATTCAATTAGGCTGCACAACAGTTACAGTTGCACAACTGCTTTGTTCAAAGGCTTGTACTATGTTCTGTCAAAGGTTGCACCCCTTAAATGGTAACATATCTGGATTCAAGTCGAACAGCTTTGCTCTGCCCAGCAGATGGGTCTTGTTCCTTTGATGAGGGAGATCACAGAGACAATTATAAGCAAATCATGTCCAATTCCATACGCACAGTGACAGAACATACTGAACAAATGTTACTTTTTACTTAATCACCCAGAAAATGCTCAGACAATACACAGCCTCAAAACACGACATGGAACCGCTGAGCAACGTTCAGAGGTTGTTAGCATTTATTAGCCGTCCTAGAGGAACACCCGTGCCCAGATGCTGCTCAGAAACCACACCTCACTGTAAGGCAGACAAGAAACTCAACTCCACCCCGGTGTCAGCAGGAATTTACAACTCTGGCATCGCGGGGATCCTTCCAAAGGAGCAGCGTGGTTCAGTCAGAGCCCGGCGCAGCGCTTGAACCCGGGGCTGCAGCACCGCGGAGAGCTCCGCACCCCTCCGGGGGCGGCCGGTCCCAAATCGCTGCTCCCAAGCGAGGAAGGAGGGGAACCCACAGAAGGTTTGACCCTCACTTTCCTTTGCAGGAGATGAACAGATAACAGCAGCAATAAAAAATCGTTCCCATTCAACCTAAGGGTTATTTCGAGGTGCGGAATGTATGGCTTTTTTAATTCTTCCTCTACTAGATCAGGCAGGTGAAGCAGTGCTGCTGGGTTTGTGCTCTCTAGAGCTGAGCTCTCTGATTTCTCACGCCTTGTATGCAGGGCTGCTCCCACAGGTGGTCAGACGTGGGAGCTGAGCTGCAGAAGCCCCCAGGAAGGTGACAGACCCATACCTGTCCCCATTGCATTGCTCAGCACCAACCGCTCAGGTTTGTGCTCTCTAGATGCTGACCACATTCATCCCCAAATAGGCAGAACGAGGGAGCTCTTGCCTCGGAGGACTATGCAGGAGGGCTGCAAGCAGCTCTGCTGCCCCACACTGTGTTTAAAGCAGTTTCTTGCAGCCAAGGACTGAATGATCGCGGTGTCTCAGTTTGCAAGCCAAACACATGCACGAGGGAAATTACAAAAGAAACTGTGGTTTTACATGGAAAAGAAATGATCTCATTTGTTTTATTTTGTTTTCCACAGCAATGTTTGTAACTTTCTGCAAAATGGCAATTGAGGATGTCATAACCACAGCGTAATTCCAGACCTGTTTCACATTTCGCTCTCCATTCTTGCTTTTCATTGCAAAAAGTGGGGCTGAAGGACCTCTATCTTTTTAATTGCATGTAACCCATTGGCTCTCTGCAGCTTTCTTGGGTCGTTTAACCTGGACATGGAGAAAATGCTGCCGGGTATTCAGGGATGGGCTGTGTGTGCTATGATCCAGCCCTTGGGAAATGGAAGAGCTGGAGAGAAATCACTGTGAAAAGCTACAGCAGCCTTTCTGGAAGGGATTTGAATCTGAGAATGTCACTTAGGCAGAATCTGTTGCCTAAAAGCTGTGCTCTTGTTTGGATCACACCACGATCCCCCTCTGGCAGGCAGCAAATTGAAGGTGTGGTGGGGGGGAATGAAAGCAGAGGAGCCTCCTGTCACCCCTCACTGCTCAGCAGTTTTGTCTCTGTGGGTGGGGATTGGGGTCCCCTGGCACCTCCCCACCTCTGTCAGTCTCTGCACACATGGGCTCAAGGAAGGGATTCTGATTTGTACCTGAAGCTCAGAGAAACTGGTGTTCCTTTATTTCTTCAGAGCGCTGTTTTCCTGCTTGCATTTGGCATTCGCAGCAAAGGGAAAAATGAAAACGAGAAAAAAATGAGGAGGAAGAATGGTACATCCCTCCAATTCTGTTGTGTGTTTCTAATTTTTAAGGCCAAACAGCAGGACAGCAGGGAAAAAAACAAGTTCTGGCTGAGCTGAGCTCTCTGATTTCTCACTCCTTCCATGCAGGACTGCTCCCACAGGTGGTCAGATGTAGGAGCTGAGCTGCAGAAGCCCCCAGGAAGGTGACAGATCCATACCTGTCCCCATTGCATTGCTCAGCACCAACTGCTCAGGCTGCAGGCAGCAAACGAGGGATGCTCCTGCCCAACTCCTGCAGCAGATGTAGGAATCAAGTGCTTTTTCTATAGAGGCCATCTAGAAATTCCAGCTTTTGAATTAGCTGTGCTCTCCTCTGGGGTTTTGCTGACATTCAGGCTTGCTGCTCAGGCATTTCTCACCTCGCCAGGCATGGCCAGCATACCCTCACTGTGACCCAGAGGGCCCAAAAGAGCCTCTGTGCAACTGAGCTTTTCATCTTGAAATGTGAGAGACGAGGATTTGAGAAAGGTGAACTCCAGGGAGCGGTGAAAGGCAACCTTTAGTGGTTGAAGGGGGTACATTTGGGGACAGTGCAGCTCTTGGTGACCTGATCAGTTGTGAAGCCAATCCCCCGTGCTCCAGGCATGGGGACCAAAGTGCCTCGTGCTCACACAGCAAATTCTCAGTCTTTATATGAAATCTGCTGGCAGCCAAGCTGGAAGACCCCCCAGGTTTACCAGAATTCACAGTAATTCCGGCCTGCTGCTATCAGCCAAGAGGGACACCAGGCAGACTGGGGAGGATCTCTTTGCAACTTTGCCTATAAATGACACTGGCCCGTATACAGCCAAGTTCCATGGAGATCTCTGAGCAATTTACAATGGTTGTAAGAAGCGGAAATAAAATCAGAGATGATGGCAAAGCCAGAAGTACAGCTGAAAGCTCTCCAGTGCCCAGGGCAGTACCCCAGCCAGTGGGCTCTGGGGACTTCTGAAATACATTAATTCCTTTACAGCAAAAGCTGTAAATCAAATGCAAAACAAATCTTGGGATATATTTTTTTTAAGATCACTCAGCCTTGGGGTTTGAATTCATGCTGAGAACAGAGAAAACCAACATTTCTTTCTGTCTTTGAGGAATCCCAGTCTCTTTCCTTTTAAAACTGAAGGGGAGAAAGGGAAAGAACAGAACTGTTTTGGAGAAATATTTTGACAAGGAGCTGTTTCAGTCAAAGCCTTCAACCATTTTATGAAATAGACTTTTTAGTTCACCTATTTTACCTCTGTAAATTGTAAGCTGTAGCACAGAGGAGGGGTGTTAGCAGAGGTTGGATGTGAGCAGATACCAAAAGCCCTCTGTGTGTTTCCAGCCCTGCTCTGTACGTCTCTTCACATCGTTTCATGCATTAGTGTAACTCTTAGGCTTAGTGGAATGTGTCTGAATGATGGTTGAGCACAGATGTAGGAAAAGACTGCCAAAAACACTCCAAGAAAGGACATGGGACTGGCAATGAATAGAGCCGCATCAGCAGGAACGGAGCCATGAGCCCTGGAATCTCACTCCAGATTTCACCTCCTCTGTGGACTGATGACAGTGGGGAACTTGGGAGAGGGACAGGAAATGGGG